TTTTTTTTTTTTTTTTTTGTTTAAGGTCTGCACCAAGGTTCACCAGGTTACCACGCTAGCGATGACGTAAACACTTATGAAGATCTCCAATCAATCTGCTCCTGATTAATTAAGTACGGTGAGTACTCGAACATTAGTAGAACAGTAGTTTTATAAATTCGAAACTAGTACTATCTTGAAAACTAGTATAAGTTGAAACCTAGATACAGTTAAATATATTTAAATTAATTTTTGTTTCCAGATAAATCGATAATTCACGCCAAGATGGTGTACAAACCTTAGTTGTTGGTCGGTTTCCACAGATTCTTTTCGAAAGGTTATAACTTCCGCATAAGCGAATGGTGATGATGTTTACCAAAAATACTCAAAAACACACCACACTACACTGGGATAGAATAATCGCTCAATAAATTCCCTTTTTCTAAGGTAAGTAAGAACTTTTTACTCTAAACGAACGTCTTTCCCAAAACCTTTCGTTCAACTCTTCTTTTCAGAAAAATGCACCAATCGTCCACGCACAAACTGGTTTTCCGAGTTCGACGTCACGCCACATGTTTTCAAACAAAAATAAAATACAATTTTTCAATTTTACATCGAGCAATAAAATAAACGTATATAAACCATTGCGCTTTGAAAATCATTTAAAAACCCTCAAAAAAAAAAAAATCAAAATCAACTCCAACCGTAACAGTTTTCTCATTTAAGGCAACAAAATAGCGATATATTTAAAGCTAACTGCTATGCTCACATTCTCCATAATTGTGTGAAGCATGCTTTAGATAAACTAGATTATGATGTTGAAAATTTAGTTCTTAAGATCTACGCTCGTTTCTCAGTATCTGCTAAAAGGAGAGAAACTTGAAAGAAATGTTTGAATTTTACAACGCTTCATATCAAGAAATACTACATTATGTCATCACCAGGTGGTTAAGTTTGTACCTTGCTGTACAAAGAATTTTAACATCGTGGCACCCTTTGCTCTTCTACTTCAGAAGCATGAGACATTGTCCCAATTAAATCAAAAAATTACTTTTTATAAAGGATGATACATATGAAGATACGCCACAAAATGAAATCCCAGAAATTTACTTGCTGTTTTGTGAAAATTTTCTTAAAATATTTTATGATGCTATTGTGACGTTAGAAAGTAATAAAATATCAGCTATCGATGTATACGATATTTTTAAGACATTAGACGATAAACTTTCTAATCGATTAGATCAAAATTACTTTGGATATCTTGTTACGCAAAAATTAAAACATTTAGACAGATGTCAGGCACAAAAATTTGAAAATAACTTTAAATTGGTCCTATACATTACATCAAGAAATGGTTCGACTTTAGTACTGATAATTTACTATATTTAATGTCACATTTAAAGCTAAATAGTCCAGTTAAATTTCAAGATATTGTTAATTTATTTGAAAAGCTACAAAACCCAAATCTCATTGTAAATATTGATCAAATCTTTGATGAAGTAGACATTTTAAACAAAATTTTAAATATACTTTTTCAAGATGATAATTTTAAAAATAGTAGTAGCTCGTGTAAATGGACTACTATTTTAAGTAAAATACAGGAACTGCCGAATATTTCATAAATTCTGTTATTTATTTTAAGTGTACCTGCAACTACTGCTTATGTGGAACGTATTTTTAGTATAATGGGACACAAATAGACTGAAACCAGAAATAAGTCTTGCATTGATTTAGTAAAATCGGAATTACTAATTACATTAAATTATGATTTGACATGTCAAGAGTTTTATGATTATATAAAATATGATAAATTATTATTAAAAAAAGTTCACTCTACGGACAAATATATAAATCTAACAGAATAATAATTAAATTTGAAAAATTTAATGCCCTCTATAATTTTTGAATTTTCTATATATTTTTTAAGAATCTCCTCTATAGTTACTTTTAAAAAATGGCAACCCTACCCACACCATTACTGAACCACCTCCATAGCTTAGAAGGGGGCTGAATGTGCATTCCGCAAACCTTTCCCCATTTCTTCTTCACACTCTTTTCCGCCCATTTGGAGAATGTAAGCAGAACCTGGATTCATCGGTAAAGAGAACATTGTTCCGTTGCCTCAAATCCGTAACTGTTCGGTGGTAAATTGTAGTCTAGCCACCCTGTGGCGCGGAAGCAATGGTCATACACACTTATTAAATTTAGAGAACATTTTTGCGTCAAACGATATATGCAAGTATATGCATGAACACAAAGTAAAAGAAATATTTTGATCAATTTTATATTTTGCGTAATTTGAAGTGAAAAATACCAAATATTCAAACGAAATAATTTCGCGGCTTTTCTGTGACGTAGGAACCACACTGCCTAAAACAAGTTAAATTGTCCGTTAGATAGCGCTTGCGGTGTGACATTGTCAAAACAAAACCATGGATGTAATAGAGTGTCTCTATTACATCCATGAACAAAACTTAATAAACATAACCTACAAACACTCTATCTCTTTTCAATACAACCTAAATGACGTTCGTCTCTTTCTCGCATTTGAGCGGGAGCAGGGGACGCAAAGGTGGATACGTACGTCATCAACGCGGGAATTTTAAAAGCCCAAATAGGTATATAAATTTTCAACAATTTTTTTAACAATGATTTTGTTCGAAAATATTCAAAAAAAAAATAACGGTAACTATATTTTTATACAAACTTTCAGAAAATATAATAAAAAAAAAATCGTGTATGACCCCATTTGGGTCCAACTGCTGGTCTGCAAGCTTTCAACGCAGATTCCTTTAGTCTTAGACGAATTGTCCACGCACTCACATTTGTACCTCGGACCTGTCGAAGCTCATTTTTCTTCTGTACTGACGTTAAATGACGAAAAACTATAACACGTATAAAACAGCAGTGGTTTTTCGTTTTCTACCGCTTCCTGCCCTTCTCCTATTTCTTCCAGTTTGTGTAAAACGTTCTACCACTCTTTTAATAGTGGAGCGATGAACATGAAGGATTCTTGCAACATATTCATAATTACGCCCATTTTCAACAAATCATGGTACTAATCTTCTGTACAAAAAATCACTGTCCAATTGTCAATAGAATAACAATGAGCAAAGCCACCTTATTAAAACGACTACTCTAGATCATGTTTCTTTACAGCGATGAACCACCTCGAGGTGGTTGATATAATAAATGGTATAAAATCGAAGAGAAGCGAAGACGTTTATGGTATGAACACAGCGTTAATCAAAATTGTAGCCGCAAGTGTATCAACACCTTTGGCTGAAATCTTTAATAAGTGTCTGGACGAAGGCATATTTCCCGACAAATTGAAGGTCGTAAAAGTAACACCAATATACAGGGTGTATCTGAATGACTGCAATAAACTTCAAAGGGTGATTCTTTAGTGAATTTTAAGGGTACTTTGATATATGAACCATGGGCGACTTCGGCTCCCCTAAGGAGCTACACCCTAAGGAATATGTTTAACTCATAATAGGGCACGTTTTGACCCTATTTGTACTTTCAACCTACCCTTCTAAACTACTAAACGTAACCACCCCCGTTCAATTTATGCATAGATTTTTTCTATGAAGATGATAAATACATTAAAAAAATTTGATTTAGATAGATGAAAATATTCTAAAACTTTTTTGCCCCTCTGATGTTCTTCGAAAATTTAATAATTTCTGAGAAAAATTAATTAAGAAAACACTAACTGTTAAACATGCCAAGTTCGAAATGACTTCGAACCAGTTTCTGAAGACGGTTGCAACATGGCATCCGAAACGTCAAACCTTTTATTAAAAGACGCACGGCAAAATCCGAAAGTTTCTAGTGTTAGTTCTAGTTTTAGTTCTAATTTTAGTTTAATTCACACCGGCCGTGAAAGCCTTCGTACTTATGTGATTAGCTTTCTCAAAAAATATATCAAAAAATCAAATCCAAAGAAGAGGGATTCAAAATCTAAAATGGGGTTATTTTATATTGTGTGGGAGAAGTAAAACTAAAATAAATAAAATAAATGTAAAACGTGAAAAAACAGCAAAAAGTGACCACTTAAGTGATGAAGTAAAAAGATAAAAACACTTTAATAAACAGATGTTAACAGATTAAAAATGAAAACTTAAACCAAACGGACATGACATGATAACAAAACGATAAGACGATGACATATGAAGTTGGTGAAGAAAATACGGAAGACGGAGGACGAAGTATGCGCGATAAAATAAAACTGACATGCAAATCAGATAGCGGGAATATATAAAATTGCGTATAGAGTTGAATGTATAAAAATGTTGAAAATCAAAAGAATTTATAAATTTTGGAGAACGTTAGAAAGGGGTGTAAACTTTAAATCTAGTTGATCATTTAACAACGTATACTTATCATTTTTTGAATTTTTAGTTATTTCATATGCCTCCAAAAGGTCCATTTTGAAACCTTTATCAACCCTATGTAGTAATTTAATATTTTTAAAATCAATTTTATGCCCGGAACTGATTGAATGCTTATAAACATTGGATGTGGGTTTATATCCATGCTCACTTATTCTGTTACCCAACTTTCGTCCCGTTTGACCTATATACAGTGTGACCCGTTTGAAAGCGGAACACCCTCGTAAAATTTGTATTTATTATCCGATTTCGATAATTTTTTTTTTTAATTGTAGAGCGTAAAAAACAGTATCTTGGGACAAAGAGTGATATTTTTCTTAAAAAAAACAAGGCCTACTATTTCACTTTTTAAGTGCTAAAAATGAAGAAATCATATTAGGAAATTTTTTACAAAAAATCTGAGTACACCACTGCATTAAGCGCCTTTTGAAATGGGCATATACCAAATCTCATCAAAAATGGTTACAAATCAACACCGTTACAGATAATTGAAAAATACAATATTTTATGAATTTATTTGATCAGATGGAGTAAACCATGACAAAAAAAGGAAATAAAATACAGAGAATAATACAAAACTATTTAACAATATTTAACAGAAATTCAAAAAATTTAAGAAAAAAACAACATTAAAGGTATTAATAGAAAATAAAAACTAGTTAAATGTCTGTTGCTTCCACCAATCCACCGTTAAGTTCGATACATTTATTGTACCTTCTTCGTGCATTCATTGTTACATTCCTCAGTTGCTCTGGGGTAATGTCTGCACATGCCTGAACTATTCTAGCACGCAGTTCATCTAGCGACTGTGTCCTTGACCTGTAAACTTTCTGTTTAAGGATTCCCCAAAGAAAAAAGTCGAGTGGTGTCAAATCAGGAGATCTTGGCGGCCATTCAATAAGATGACTATTTCTTCCTATCCATCGATTTTCAAAATTTTCATTTAACCAACGCTTTACCACTACTGCGTTATGCACGGGAGACCCATCTAATTGAAATTTTATATTCGCACATACCAGAGGTGGTAAATTGTTTAGCGCATTCGAAAACTCATTTCTTAAGAAATACAAAAATTTTGTTGAATTTAAATTGCCCTCAAAGAAAAATGGACCAATAATTCTGTTGTCAAGTATTCCGCACCACACATTTATTTTATGCGAATACTGTCGCCTTGCGTTGATGATCCACTCTGGATTTTCTGTGCACCAATACCTTGAATTTTGCGATGACACCACGCCATTTGTTGTAAACGTGGCCTCATCGCTAAACAAAATTTCCCTTAAAAAGTTTCTGTTTTCCAAGTATTCACCTTGAGCCCATAAACAGAATTCTAGTCTTCTCTCTTCGTCTCTTGGTTCAAGAGTGTGTAGAAATTTTGGTTTATAGGGTTTAATTTTATTTTTTGTAAGGCACCTTCTAATACATTCTCTTGGAATATTTAAATCTATGGCAGCCGTTCTCAAACTCGAATGAGGGTTATTATGAAAATATTCCACTATTTGATTATTATTTCTAATTTCCCGGCGTGGATTTTGAACTTTTAGAATTTGTTTTGATACACTGCCTGTATCGTTGAATACCTTATTTACCCGGTGAACGGTGCTAGCACTAACCGGAGGCATATCTGGATGCCTGTTATTAAATTCTATAGCCGCTTTTCTTTTCGAAAGAATATTATCGCCAACAAGGCGTACAATTTCAACTTTGTGTCTAACACTTAGTCGTTCCATAATTACACCACTAAATTGCACACTTTTTATAAAATTTTTATAAGCACAAAACTGACAGAAGTAATGCTTTAAATCACTTTCATAGAATTCAATTCTTTTTTTTTATTTCCATGGTTTACTAGATAACTATTTTTTTATTTCCATGGTTACAAATGTAAATAGTTTTTGTATTATTGGCTGTATTTTATTTCCTTTTTTGTCATGGTTTACTCCATCTGATCAAATAAATTCATAAAATATTGTATTTTTCAATTATCTGTAACGGTGTTAATTTGTAACCATTTTTGATGAAATTTGGTATATGCCCATTTCAAAAGGTGCTTAATGCAGTGGTGTACTCAGATTTTTTGTAAAAAATTTCCTAATATGATTTCTTCATTTTTAGCACCTAAAAAGTGAAATAGTAGGCCTTGGTTTTTTAAAGAAAAATACCACTCTTTGTCGTAAGGTACAGTTTTTTACACCCTACAATTAAAAAAAAAATTATCGAAATCGGATAATAAATACCAATTTTACGAGGATGTTCCGCTTTCAAACGGGTCACACTGTATATGGCGTTACAATTAGAGCAACTGATCAAATAAATTCCAGTCTCATTCTCAATGTTGTAATCATTAAAATGGTAATTAGACAATAATTTATCAATTGAACTATTATTGGAAAAAGAAAGGGCAATATTATAAGAAGCAAAGATTTTTTTAGTAGAAAAAGCTATGGGAGTGTAAGGTATGGTTTGAATATTTTAGAATTGGATGTTTTCGAAAATAGTGTGTTATATAAATTTTTCTTATTAAATTTTTAATGATATGAATTGGGAATTTATTGTACTTTGCTAACTCAAAAATATGGTTAAATTATTTTGTTCGGTTATAATCAGATAAAGGGTATTTAAAAGTTCTATTAACATAAAATCTAAAGCTTGCCCATTTTTGTGATAGAGGATGATTGGAGTCGAATGGAATAATGGTATCAATAGAAGTTGTTTTTCTATAGATGTCAAACTCAAATTTATTATTTAAATTGTTAACTTTAAGGTTCAAGAAATTTAAGGATTTATCTTTTTCGATTTCTAGGGTGAATTGAAGATTTTTATGCAATTTATTAAGGTATTGATGAAATTTATTTATTTACCTTCCATATCACCCTCCCATATACAAAAAATATCGTCAACGTACCTGAGCCATTTAATATATACTTATCAAAAGGATTAACATTATTGATAATGAATTTTGTTTCAAAATGATTAAGAAAAATATCTGAGATAATACCAGAAAGAGGCATTCCCATGGGTAGACCATCTGTAATTTTGTGTAACAATATGCTTCAGAATTTTATTAAAACCTTCTATGTGATTTAAATTATCGAAATGTAGGTTAAAATGTTCTGAAACAAGATCAAGAGTGAAATCTATAGGCACGTTGGAATATAAATTGATGATGTCAAAGGATATTAGAATTTTATTGTGGAGGTTTATATTTTCAATTTCGTTAAAGAATTGTAATGAGTTGGATATTGAAAAACTGAATCAAAGTTTAGACTTTTAAGACTATTAAGCATAAAATTGGCTATATTAGAAGTAGAGGAGTTATTGAACGATGTGATGGGCCTGATGGGCATATTATTTTAGAGTATAAAGTTTGGGAATGCTAGGGTTCATGTGGACGAATAAAGTACTAAAGAATTAAGAAGAAACAATTTTGCTGGAATAACAGATGTGGTATATAATCGACCAGTGTCCCTTTACATTTATTAATAATTTCTCGTGTTTTTCTGATGACATTGTCCAAGGGATTTTTATCCATTTTAATGTACTGATGTTCTTTCATAAAATGATTGTTTTTTTCTATGTAAAGTTCCTTATCTAATATAACATTACCTGCGCCTTTATCGGCTTTCACAAATATAGCATTATTAATATTTAATTTATTTTTGATAGATTTAATATTTTTCCAAAGGTGTTCATGTGGAAAAACATTATTGTTATAATGTTTTTCAGATTTATTAATAATAGGAATCAAATCGTTTTTTGTATTTTTTTATATTTTTCTTTTATTTATCTTGTAACACTTTTATCCATAAATTCAGATTTTGCAATTAAAAACATATTGTGCCATTTTAAAAAATTGGTCGTGACCTTCATATAACCTTGAAAATAAGGTCAAGGTCAAAACATGTTATCGTCATATGGTTTCACCCTTCGCACATAACAACTTTTATTTGGTTCATTTTTATGTAAAATGAACCGTTTTCGAGATAATCGCTTGTCTCATGTTAAATGGACCATTCTGTATATATTTTCTATATATTCTGGATTAAGTGGAAGAACAGTTGGTTAATAACAGAACTGAACTTCGTCCAAAAAATAAGTCTATTTTCTAAGAATGTATTATTTTTTTCTTCTTTTTGCGACTTATTAATAAAGTCATTACTATTATATTCCTAGTTTTCACAATGAAATCTAATAGGGTTATTGGTTCAATTACTGAAGATTTAATATATGAAGTTGCACATAAAAACTTAGGATATGAAAAAAAAGAAACAATTATTCAGTCCATATATTTTATTTATCCATTTTCAGACATTAATAAAATAGTAATACTAATAATAAAATACTAGCAGTGCTAAATGTGTCTCCATCGAAGTAAAAACTTAATTTTAACAAAGAAATTATCACAATACTCTCTGGGTCCACTATAACGAGTTCTCATTTAGATTGCAACGTTCACATGATGTTATGATAAAAGGATTCAGATCGGTTCAAAAACGCCAATATCATGCTCACTGTCATCATTATCATTTTTTTCCTATAAATTTCTAATGCACAACACCACTGCTTGTATACATATACAATATTTTAATAAATGGTTTCACGTTATACATATACATATAATAGAATTTATTTCGTGTATACATCCTTATTATAATTTCCTTCTTTCAATCTTAATTATTACAACTACAACTACTCGATTATAAAATAAATAATTTGCATTGATATCATGACTTAGGTAGTATAAATCTGTATTACAGTTAAACTGACTATTGTCAAAGATTTTTATATTTTATTCTTTTTACGGAAGGACCAAACCGTTTCCGTTAGAACACAGACAAATACCACGTGCGCGTACCTTAAGTATTTTACACAGTAAAAAGGTGAACAAATAAGTGTAACCTCAATATGAGATCGTTCTGAAAACTAAATTCTACTCTGACACTCACATTTCTTATCAGACAATACCTGTACTTGTACTTATCGACAAGAGAACTAATGCAACGTCCAATTATAATTATTATTTTCAAATTTTCAAACGATATGCAATTTTTTATCTTTTTTTTTTAATATTGTTATTATTAAAGCAGAGACGGCATTAATTCTCTATTGGGTATCACAAAAAAACTATTAGTTATGATAATAAAACTAAAATTTACTCCCATTCTAAGATTTCGTCGCAAAAATCTTTTCTTTTACTGTTGAAGGTCTGTTGGCAAGTATACTTTTTCGGATTGCTTTATGTCCGCACGACACAATGGGCACCTGTCACATTTCGAGGCACACAATGAACATGCGACGATGTGGGCACACGGAAAAAAAGCCGTGTTTATTTGATTATCCATGCAGATCTTGCAGGTCATTGCATCCAGTATTCTTGTTAAACGTTCATGGGAGTCCTAAATTAAAAAAAAAATCCCATTAGATTATTTTGAACGCATAAAGGATTATAAAACAGTTAAGCGCAACTATGAATTATAACTGCAAATATCGATTTCGCATTAAAGTGATAGACCGTGATTCAATTTTTTTTAGGTTTCATGCAAAATCGGTTCCATTTACAGAGTCATAGATACCTACCGAACAATGTTTCCCATCTAAATTTCCAACATCCTCTTCCTGCATCTGATTAGGTACTTGACTCTCCTGATAAAGAGCCCTACGGGCATTATCGTAAACCTCGCGACATGTCCTTCGTATATCAAATACATATTTTTTCCCCAACGAAGAATCTTCGTTAAAAATCGAAACAATAGTGCCCTTTAAATCACGTATGAACTGTTCAGTAACAGCGCTTCGTACGGTTTCACAACTGTAGAACGCGTGCTTCTCGGTGATCGCCCTGTACAAGCCGTTAGCCGCGTGACTCGATTCCAGTTTCACCTCGAAATGAGCCAGCACGTTGTCCATGTTCACGTATTCTAGCTTGAAGGTCCTGCGATGTGAAGAGGCGCTTTGGATGGCCGTGAATGGGATCAGAAGCTTTTCTGAACCTCCTCTGTCGTCGTATTTCGTTACACCGTGTGGACCTACACCCAAACGGACGTTATCCTAGAAGAAAATAAAAAGAGATTTATTTATAGTGTAAATGGAATTTCGGATCAATTTTTAATTAAAACGATTTAAATGATTCAATATTGAGAAACAATAATGTTGTGTGCCATTGATTAATTCAATCTACGTTTTGCTAATTCATAAACTTTAGTTCTGCCGGGACTTAAAGGCTTTACGAACTGATTATTTATTAATCAACGACGCTTATTGATTGAACGTTGAATTTTAGAGCTTACTGCTTTTCACGTAAATCGTGAAACTATTACATTAATTTTGAATGAGTGAAGGTAATACTATCCATGTCTGGTAGTACTCTAAATAGATTTACTCTAAATAAATCCGGGAAACCGGTTAATCGGTTAATCATTTGATTTTAATCAATTTTGAATGAGTGAAGGTAATACTATCCATGTCTGGTAGTACTTTAAATAGATTTACTCTAAATAAACCCGGGAAACCGGTTAATCGGTTAACCGCTTCACCAAAAAAATTGCGTAAAGTACAAAAAAGTGTTTATAGGATGACAAAATAATTATCATATTAAAACTATACAAAGCAGATATTATGTGTACCTATTGAAAATATAAAATATACAAAAGGTATAGTTTTCTACAAAAACAAAACTAAATTTAATTTATAAACTTGATGTTTTTATAAAATAATATTTTAAGAAAACTAACGCGTCTAATAGGTCGAATTTCATTCTTGACCTTAATTTTGTACAAAAGTTACCCGCAACGGAAAAAACTCTTTCACTTTCAGTAGATGTCGCTTGTATAGTTCCCAACGCTTTGTATAAATTTTCAATTGTTGATGTCTTAATTTTTGTGGCTTCAAACATCTTTTTTAAACAAATTCTTTTTTAACCCTTGGGTAGACGCGTCTCTATACGTAACGCCAATACACGCACTGGGACTATTAGTCCCATAGCAGAAAACAGCTCAATTTTTATATTATACATACTTTGAATTATAAATTAAATTGTGTTACAGCAAGTTGGTTTATTAAAGTATTTTAAACCTGAAAATAGGGTATAAAAAGGCAACTAATATCTAGCTTGAATCAAAGTTAACATTTAATAATATGTAAAACACATGGGTACGAACACATTAAATGTGTTGCAAGACCTTGCTGCAAGAAAGAGGTAAGTCCACTTTTATGGTTTCTGAGATAATCGAAAAAACTGTGGTGTCTTTTCATGGGTTGCCCAAAATATGTCAGCTTTCTTGACAACATCCACTAAGGCAATATATACCAATTTTCACTTTATTAGTTAATGTTTTTCAAAAATTACAGAATATTTTTAAATAAATCTAGTGGACTTACCTCCTTCTTGCTCCCAAAATTTGTAATTCTATGAACATGTTAGTAAAACTATTAAAAAAAATTATTGTATTAAAAAAAGTTTTATTTATTTTAGAACGATCTAAACCTAATAATATTTCTAACATAAACTTAGAAATGTTAAAATATCTGAAATATTTAAAGTTATTCGTCATCAAAACCGCCTGTTTCTTCTGTATCTGTTAGCTCACTTTCGTCGCCAGGTTTTTCTACAGCGCATTTTAGACTTCTGTAGTACTCTTTACAGTTTTCGGGAACATATTTTCGAATAAGGGTCATAACATTATCATATTTGAGTTTCTTTAAACAAAATGTCGAGTTATATGCTCGATCTTCAACACTTGGTAGAAGAAACGGAAGCGTCTGATTCTTCTTTCTGATATCAAAATAGGAAAATATGATCATGCCGGTTGATATGCTGCACTTAACATCAGTCGATTGAGAATCATACTCAAAAATTCTCTGTTTGGATATGGCAAATTTTTTCTGCTTGTTGTTATCCATTACAACTTTTTTGAAAGACAGAGCTAAAGTGTGGACGTAGTTAAGAATAATATCTTGAGTAACGGCAACGACATGGACATTTTTTGAAGATTTTTTTAACTGATTTATATGTTCTTCGGGTGTGTAGATCCGTTCAACTTTTCGAATGTATTTTTCAGTTCTCCCAAATGATCGGTCACATAGCAAAAAACTGTGACCGGGTCCTGGGAAGCGGTGCACAATCTTTTCGAATCTGCCATTTTGAACCAAACAATATAGATATTGCGTACGGCTATGATTCTTATTTTGAGCGGCACAGTTATCAGAAAAAAGGTATAGCACCTTTACAGTCTTATCTAACACATTTTCAATGAAGTGTGCCAAAAAGCTGATAGTCTCATTTGGGGTTTTTCTACCAGTCACTTCATCATAGACATAGTACGTAGATTTTTGCAGCTTAGCAGAATGAATACAGAAGTTGTATATCCATAGTTGGCGAAGATAGAATGCGTCACCAGATGGCACCTTAGGAAGCGGAGCATTTTGCTGGAAGTCAAAGCAAAGAGTATCGACTTTTGGATCTTCAAGAGCACTCGACGTTTTTTGCGAGAGGTCATCAAAAAATGTCTTGGCCTTATTTTGGTGCAATGTTAGCTGTGCTTCTATCTCATTCAATTCGGCGTCTGTATGAACTGACTTTTTCTTGTTCGCCAAAGTATCGCAAAGCTGGCAGGCTTGGATGCCCAAAGTGATAGTTTGCAAAATTTGCTTTGAAATACCTATAATAGAAGTCATAGGTAACGGCTGGTTTAAAATCAGAGGATCGATCTTGATTTTCCTGTATTAACTTGTACATGTTTGGTTCAAATTTTGACAGATATAACGTATAAAGTGTGCGAATATTGAGTTCAGGCGAGAGGTAGTATTTTCCATTGTTTTTAGACCGACTGTAATGTGATTTACGTTTTGGAAATTCTGTTATATGCGTGTGAATAGATTCAACGATTTCTGGTGATATGGCATTGGGTCTATTGGAATGTCTACCTCTCATATCTCCAGGTAAAGTTAGAGTAGAAGGCTTTGCCAAATTTGCTGCAATATTTTCTACTCGTTTTGCAGACACACCGTGAAGTGCACAGAAGTGCCTTCTTACAAACATCAAACACTTCTTGACCAAGACGTAAAGACACCGATTGTTCTTGCAGCAACCAGCTTGTTAACTGAATTTATATGCTCTTCTCCGGATGCGAGTTCTTTTTTTCGTATGTTTCTTTTTCACATTTCTGGATGGCTCTTTTTTTGTCGTTTGCATCTTTGAAACGCAGCTGTTTCCTGATTTTCGTCACTGCTCGAATTTGAACTGTTATCCGGTTCGTAATTATCAGAAGAGCCAGAGCTAAAATGTTCTCTTTCACTGTCACTGTGCTCATATTCCATTTTATAGATATAAACTTATTTTGAGGTTAGAAATGAAAGGCTTTAATTGGCGCAAGAAAGATGCAAGTCCGGACTTACATCATTATTGCACCAAATAAGTTTGGGCGCGTAAGTCCTACATAGCAATTAGGCAACCAACTATTACTGTGTGTGAATCTTTCTTGCACCAAACAATGGGGAATAGCTAAGTTGGTGTAATGGTGGACTTTACTCCATTTTGTTCAAAATGGACTTACCTCTTTCTTGCAGCAAATTTTTTTGTATATCTTTATTTTATTTCGAATACGTTATTCGAATTCATTATCCACGTCTCTTTCACTACTACCTTCAAGACAATTTTGACAAATTGATTTAACGTGTTTTTTCAAACATATATAGCTATTACACTTTTCGCATGTAAAGGTTGTTTTGGCGTCCTTCTTCGATTCTATGTAACAAGCTTCGCATCGTTTCCTTTTGACAGATCTTCGACTTGTTCCAAGTTGTCGTCTGGTATTGCTGGTTTATGCTTTGTTAGCATGGTTTTTAGTTCATTTGGCAATGACTGAATAAGCGATCTCCTCGTCAATTGTTCTGAAACGAAACTTGGAGAGAATTTTTTTAGATAGTCTCGTCTTGAAATATATTCGTTGCCATTTCCCAAAAAAATAATTCTAGCATTTATCGCTTTTATCATTCAATAAATGATAAAAGATGACCATCGGCCATCGCCTTGTTGCTCTAGCAACGTTGTACGTAGCGCACTATTTGTACTATTATAGTATTTGATAATTTCCGGTTTCCGTTGTCTATTAGTTGCTACTTCATTGCTTGATGTATGCAAGCTGAATAACAATACAACAGTCTTACCCTTCTTTGGCACGTAGGAGACAAGGGTTTCGTTTCTTGTGTAACCGAAAATGCTGTCATACTGTGCTCTACGTTTTGGCAAAGCAAAACTTGGTGGTAATTCTCTCTTGTTTTTTCGGACAGTTCCAACGTATGATATTTTCTTCTTTTCCAAATTTGTCTTAATTGGCTCTGAAATTCGCATGACAATATCTTCCGCAGAATTACTTCTTTTGTAAGGCCCGTCAGGTTGTTGGCCGCAATAGATCTCCATGTTGGCAGTATAAAAAAGCTTTGCGTCAGCAAGACAAAAGATTTTTATATCATATTTTGTATTTAGCATCTCATCAATAGTAACGTTTCGCCTAAATTGTAATGTAATTTGCAGTTCTCAATAAATAAAACAAATATTTCACCATTCGTGGGATTCCCATCGGATGCGTGCAAGAATGCAACACAAAAACGGATCAATATATTAATATTCTTATTTTTATATAAAATTGATACTTATTAGAAATACACAACTAAACAATTTACAAACACGTAAATAAAAAGGAGATATCTAAACAATAAAACTACCGAATATGTGCGTGAACTACCGGATCAACGTTCGCCGCAAAAAGGAGACGTGAATACACGCGCTGGGATTTTCAGTCCCAAATCATGTATGCGCGGCATTGTTTGAGTGTTTACAAAGTAATAAAACTGAGCCTTCGTTTGAAACTCATGTAAAGGGTTCCTAAAACATCATTTTGAGATCTCAAAAATCCACAGTGCCGTAGCTGTAATAGTTTTTACGTAATTACAGAAATGATAAGGCATGGGGCTGCCAGTTCCATACGCGTCTATTCAAGGGTTAAAGTTATTTCCAAACTCGATCTCTCTGTCCTTTTCTGTATCCTGCA